GTACATTGCCGCTACTGAGGCAAGCAAAGAGATGATGTGGATGAAGAAGTTCCGCATGGAACTCAGCCATGATCAAGACAAGTACGAGCTGGGTTGTACAATCAAAGCGCAATCCATCTTGCGAAGAATTCGACCTATCACTCCCGCACCAAGCACATTGATGTGAGGTATCACTGGATCCGGGATGTAGTGGAAGGTGGAGAGCTCGAACTCGTCAAAGTGTACACTGACCAAAATTTGTCCGACTGATGACAAAGCCGGTTCCAGCAAGAAAATTTGAAGACTGCTATAAAGGAGCCGGGTTGATGCTGAAATCGACGCATTGAAGTCGGAGGGGAGATTTGTTGGGCTTCCTCCTTCAATGTGTAACACCCCAAATTCTAACAATTGATAATAGCATAAATAATTTCAATAATTTTTGTAAATAACAGCGGAAGTTCAAAATAATCAAATTTGGAAAGTGTTACCGCCGCACTTGTACTATGGACAGGTGCAAGGCTAAATTTATTACATTAAAAATAAAACCAAAGACTAAAGTTTAAATAAAGGAAATATGTCTTATGCATTTATTTAAATCTCATAAAATTTCTAAACTTAGAAACTAGCTAGAAATATAATATCCGAGTCGTGATCCTCGCTGCCCACAGCTAGCCCCATCCTTTGCAACATGCTTCACTGAAAATCTACTCCCCCGTGAAGGATCATTGCAGTTAAACAAACACAAAAGTTAGCAAAGCTGGTAATCCAAATCCGATATACAAAAATAAATAAATAAACAAAAAGAATGTAACTCATGATAATCCAATAAAATAATATAACTCAAAAATTCGAATCAAATGTCAACTTGTTATTAATTATATTAATATTTATTTAATCCATTTAGTCTATTTAGTGGGAAGAGAACCATGGTAGACCCGGGAAACCCTGTCAGTCTACCCTGTGACCCGGGAAACCCTGCCGGTCACAAACAAATCACTTTGGCCATAATCAATTCACATCTTCCTAGTGTGCACACCTCTTCCCAAAGTTGCTACTAGTATCCCGGGAAACCCTGCCAGACACCACTTTGGGAAGAACGGATATAATCTTTTTTACATCAGTTTCACATCGGAGGCATAAAGCCCAAAAATTGTGTTCATCACTTTGGGAGGTACCATCCCAAAGCTATCCTCCCACTATTATTATTATTATTATTATTATTTTAATATAGACATAACAAAATTTCCCAATTTATTTCAAATATATGTAATATCTATTTTCTGCAGCAAACAATTAATTTCCAATTTACCAAAACATATATATATATATTAGTGCCTCAATTTATAAAGTAAAGCACAAAATATAAAAAAAACAATTGAAACTAAATTCATATAACTAATGTATTTGAAATATGTTCATCACGTAAATCGAAAAGTAGAATTGCAATATATGTAACTTGAAAGAAACGATTCAGATGGTAGATGGTGAACATACATCTAATTCAATTGAAAGTGACGCACAAAAATCGAGAAAGGAGATTTTTTTGTTTGTTTTTGTTTTGTGAACTATATCATGTATAAAAGCAACGATAAGTATAATTCGAATTCAATTAAAGAATTGCACAGAAATCAAAAGAAATTTGCAACGAAGTGTAACTATGATATATATTTAGGATCATAATTATCCTATCAAAATTCATATAAAATTAACCTAAGACTTCTAAGGATTAGGATTACACATACCAAATTTCACATAAAATAAATATAATCTAAAAATACCTAGGGATTAGGATTACCTGGTCTCCGTTTTCGCTAACTTTTAGAAGAAAAGAGTAATTTGGGGCAGAGAACCGGTTGATAAAAAAATATAAAGATTGAAAATAATTAAAATAAACTCTTTGGAGTGAGAAGAGAAAGAGAGTAGTAGAGGAGAGTGAATTGGTTTGGTTAGGCTAGGTCTCTATTTATAGTTGAAGTTTAGGGCTTATACATTACTGACTCAATGCTGACTCATCATATCTAAACAATTTATGTTTGTTGAGTCATCATATCTAAACAATTTATGTTTGTTAAGTCATCATATCTAAACAATTTATGTTTGTTGAGTCATCATATCTAAACAATTTATGTTTGTTGACTCATCCTAATCCAATCAAACATTACCAATCAAATAATCAAACATTAAAGCATAATGATCAATCAAATAATAACAATTTATCACCCATTATTATTATTACTAATTTATAATTTATTACTATTATTAATTTATTGTATTATAAATTACTATTATTTTTCTGGGATATTACAAATGCTAAGCCCAAGCCCATTGAGGGGTTTAATAAAAACCCTAAACCTTAAACCCTAGATTCCACCTCCTCTATATATTCATTAGTTGTGGGTGGAGGCTATGTTAAAATTAGAGAAAAATATTTGACAGATTTGTGAGCAAATCTTTGAGCTTTGTATTTTGATATATCTCTAGAGAGAGTTTGAGTGAAACATCTCTCTGAAAGTTTGATTATCACCAGTGTTGGAGAGGTTGAGTTAACCACCACTTTGGTGAATCTTGATTCTTTGTACCCATTATTTTCATAGTCGATGTTTGAATGGACTAGGTCCCGTGGGTTTTTACTTCTTTATTGGAGAATGTTTTTCCACGTTAAAAATTGCTTATGTTCTCTCTCTCCCCCCCCCTTTTGTGTTTTTTGTTTTTCGGCTGCGCTGCCCGACCTGGTGAAGTTCAGGCCGAGGTAAGATTGCCGAGATCCAAGATACACAATCTTGTTGACTGACTTCCGCAAAAGGCTGCTTAGCCGAGTTGAGGGAACGAAGTTCCCAATTGTTTTTTTAATAAATATTTACGACAACATAGTCATTTTAAATAATACAAATTTATAGCACTAAAACACGCCTCACATAGGGCGTGATCGGTTGGAGAGAGACACTCCCCATAGAGGGTGTGTTTTATGATAGAGACACTCCCCACAAGGGGCGTCACTCACCATGTGCTGACACGTGGCACAAAAAGTCAACAGTTTGACTGTAAAACTTTGGAAGCCTATAACTTTTGACTCCAGTGTCCGAATTAGGTAAAAAAAATATTTGATTCCACATAACTTTTCGAGATCTACGCAATGACACCATATTTGGCATATTTTGTCTCTCACAAAAAGTTTGAATTTACAACAATAATACTATAAGAACGTTTAAACCCAGATTAATAAAAAGAAAATCACTATCATGATTAGTATGGTGTGTAAAATAACCAAAAAATTGAACCGAACCGATCCGCCCTTAAAATAACCGGTTTTTAAAAACCAGTTCATGAACCGAACCGGTTTTTAAAGAACTAGTTCATGAACTGAATCGGTTTTTAGAACTAGTTTAAGAACCGAACCATTTTGAATCGAATCGAACCGTTTCCGAACTGAACTATTTTCAAACCGAACTAAATTGATTTTTATAATTTTATTTTTAATTTTTTAATTTTTTTTCTTTTTAAAAGAGGGTTGACCCGAATCGGTTCCGAACCGAACCGAACCACTTCCAAACCGAACCAGTTTTGAGCCGAGCCGAACCATTTTCGAACCGAACCATTTAAACCAATTCGGTTCGGTTTTTCAAAAAATCTGGTTCAGTTCGATCCATGCACATCCCTAATGATTAGAAACATTCCTATTAAAGATCCTTATGATTATGGTACCATTGTTGCAAATTGAAATTATATTTATGAGAGAGAAACTTCAACTTAAATAACATCGTTCCCACTCACAGATATAAAATATGTAAAACGGAGCACAAGGAAGCATTTTTTGAAAATAAATTTGACTAACTAGAACTTGCCAACACGTTCGTCTCAAAAAGTTATGGAAAAAAAAAATCTGATTCAGGCACTCGAGGGGACTTGGTCTCAAAAGTTTGCCTGAATTAGGTTTCTTATTTATTCCGCATAACTTTTTGAGATGAACGTGTTGGCAAATCCCGGAGAATACTTGGTCAAATTTTTTTTTTCAAAAGATGTTTCCTCGTGCTCGTTTTGCATATTTTGATATCTGTGAGTGTGAACGATGTTATTTAAGTTGAAGTTTAGTCTCTCATAAATATAATTTCAATTTGCAACAATGGTACCATAATCATAAAGATCTTTATTATGGATGTTTCTAATCATGACAGTGATTTTCTCTTTATTAATATGGGTTTAAACATTCTTATAATATCATTGTTGTAAATTTAAACTTCTTTGTGAGAGACAAAATATGCCAAATGAGGTGTCATTGCGTAGATTCGAAAAGTTGTGTGGAATAAAAAAAATTACCTAATTCGGACACCCGAGGCAAAAGTTATGGACGTTCAAAGTTTTACAATCAAACTATTGACTTTTTGTGCCACATGTCAGCACCTGGTGAGTCACGCCTCTTGTGGGGAGTGTTTCTCTCATAAAACACGCCCTTTGTGGAGAGTGTCTTTCTCCAACCGGTCACGTCTCTGTGTGACGTGTTTGAGTGCTATAAATTTGTATTTACCTTTAAAATGACTATATTTTTGTAAATATTTATTAAAAAAATAATATTTAAATTTTTTTTTTGCCCAAATTTATCTAATCAAACTTCAATTAATTTCTAAAGCTTGGATGCTATGATTTGGTAACTGAAGTTGCTAAGCTCCTTCCTAGAAATTACCTTCACATGACCCAAAAATAAAGGTCAAGAGAAAAGAAAATTTGAGAATTGGGTGGAGGAGCTGGTTTGATTGTGGTCAAACTTTCAAGAGAAGAAATCAGCCACCAAGTGGGTCCAACCTACCCCAACGTGGTAAGACAATTCAACTACGTAACCAAAAGAAACGTTAGCTGGGATATGTACAAAAGCTAAGATAAAGACAATGCTGCATAAAGCAGTTAATTACAATATATTCATGCAATTTTTAAATGAGAATTTTTTTATTTTTTGTTGGGGTTCGGCCTAATCTACAGGTCTATAAATACCATGCTACCAAACTCTATTCTGCATAAAGCAATAGAGAAAGAGGCAGACAGAAAGAGTGTTTATTTTTTGGTAGAAAGAGAGTTTATTTGAGTTCAAGAGATGAAGAACTTCCCAGTGATCAGCTTGGAGAAGCTCAATGGTGAGGGGAGGAAAGATACCATGGAGAAAATTAAGGATGCTTGTGAGAACTGGGGATTCTTTGAGGTACCTCAAGAACCCAACCAAAGCTTTTATTACCTCATTAATTTCTGCATTGCCCTCCAAATATCTCTTCTTGTTTAGTTCTTGTGATTTTCTTGGTACTTGTCTCTTCTTATTGTTTGATCTCAAAACTGTAGCTGGTGAATCATGGCTTACCCCATGACCTGATGGACACTGTGGAGAGTTTGACCAAAGAGCACTACAAGAAATGCATGGAACAGAGGTTCAAGGAATTAGTGGCAAGCAAAGGCCTAGAGGCTGTCCAAACTGAGGTCAAAGATATGGACTGGGAGAGCACCTTCCACCTGCGTCACCTTCCTGAATCAAACATTTCGGAGATCCCTGATCTCAGTGATGAGTACAGGTAACATACACATTGCATGACATAAATATTGCAAAAATACAAGTAACGCACGTTGATACAGAATTTGCACCGTGATTTTGAGTTGACAAAATGGATATAAACAGAGATCCCATACACATAGGAGCAGAAGTTCAATTTTGAACATTGCTCCATATATGATTTTTGTTTCATTATTTCCTTTAGAGCATCTACACATCACCAAATGATGACTACAAAACAAATAACACAAGATGGACCTGTGCCCTTCAGAAAAAAACTGCAGCTGTAAATTTTCTCTTACCCAATTTTCTAAATTACTTGAGGTAATGGTGCAGGGAGGTGATGAAGGAATTTGCTTTGAGGTTAGAGAAACTAGCAGAGGAGCTGTTAGACTTGTTATGTGAGAATCTTGGACTTGAAAAAGGATACCTCAAGAAGGTCTTCTATGGATCAAGAGGACCAACTTTTGGCACCAAGGTTGCCAACTACCCTCCATGCCCTAAGCCAGACATGGTTAAGGGTCTTCGTGCCCACACAGATGCTGGTGGGATTATCCTTCTCTTCCAGGATGACAAGGTCAGTGGCCTACAGCTTCTCAAAGATGGACAGTGGGTGGATGTGCCCCCAATGCGCCATTCCATTGTTGTCAACCTCGGTGACCAGCTTGAGGTAAATTTATGTCCTTTCAACATATATGCCTAATAGACATTTCCACAAACAAGTTAGATTCAAGATCGTAACTCTTAACAAAAAAAATTTCCTTGGTAAAAACAGGTAATCACCAATGGTAAGTACAAGAGTGTGGAGCACCGAGTGATAGCACAAACTGATGGGACCAGGATGTCCATAGCCTCATTCTACAACCCTGGCAGTGATGCTGTTATCTACCCTGCTCCAGAATTATTGGAGAGAGAGACAGGGGAGAAAAGCCAAGTGTACCCAAAATTTGTGTTTGAAGACTACATGAATCTCTATGCTAGGTTGAAGTTCCAGGACAAGGAACCAAGATTTGAAGCCCTGAAAGAATCAAATGTCAAACCCGGTCCAATTGCAACTGTTTAAATATGTTTTACTATAAATACCATGATGTTTTCCTTGGGATTAGTGAACAAAGACAAAAAAAAAAAAAAAAAAAAAGCCTCATAGGCAGATGCATATTAGCATATGTTTCTCGAATGACTGTACCACAGAAAAAAAAAAAAAAAAAAGTGTTTCTCGAATGAATATAATTATTATATTTGCTATAATGTTTGAAGAAAAAAATCAGATGTCATAATTATTAGCAAAATTATTTATTGCCTCTAGGCCCTATGCACACCTTGGAACAGTGACAATTTTGTGGACAAAAAAATTACTAGACTGTCACGTCAACAGTAAATTTTGCCAAAATGCCACGTGGCATAATTCGCTACACATTGTAGCGAATTATGCATGCAAGTAATTCGCTGCACAGTGTAGCGAAATATGCCACGTCAGAATCAAAAATGACACATGTCAAATTTTGAGAAATTCGCTAGCCTATGTAGCGAATTTCTCAAAATTTGACATGTGACATTTTTGATTCTGTGCATTCTGACGTGGCATATTTCGCTACACTGTGTAGCGAATTACTTGTATGCATGGCTGTTGATGTGATAATCTGAATAAAAATTTGTACAAACGTAACAGTGTTACTGCACACTTTCCTTATACGTTCTCTGACTTGATATGAGATCGAAATTAGCAAGTTGGGTTTTGGACCACCAACGATAGTGTCGTAGTGATGTATGTTAAAAAGGAACAAGAATTATATTACGGATTGGAGAGCAAATATAAAGTAAATAGTCACGTGGGATTGTGGGAAGACGATACAAGTCGAATTTAAAATAAATATAGTGACCCTTGCAAGCCCCTGTTCTTTGCAGAAAAAATAAAGAAGATTATCCGTTTAACTGCCAAATCCAAGAAATTTTACTTACCATGCTCTAGATATCAACAAAGTCCAACATCGCCCATTATAAACTCCCGTAATTATTGGATTTTATAATAATTATTGTTATAAATGTGATTAAATTTGAATTTAATGAGAACATCTGTATATAACTATATTATTATAGTTTGCTTTAAAAAATTTAAATAACATAACTCGCAGGTTAAAGAAGAGACAAGAACCACAAATTAAAGCCTGAATACATTTGAATAATAGCATAATGTCCACTACGTGATTTCTTTAAGACATAGGAGCTTGACATTCATGTAAGCATTCCAACTTCGGAAAGTGGAGAACCCACTTTTGTAGTATGTTTTTTCAAAGAGTTTGTTTTTCTCCCAAAGTTGTTGTTTTTTTTTTTCAGAAAAAAAAAATATTTCTTAAAAAAAGTTTGTTTGGTTACCTTTTTTTTTGTTTAATAAGCAAAATTCATAAAAAAAAGTTTAAAATCTTTTTTTTTTAAGTTAAAATTTTTGGCTTCAGATTATCAAAAAAAAAATTAGTCTCTATAAAAAAGCAGAAATCAAAAGACAAAGACATTTTTAAAAATCAAATATTTTTTTAAAAATCTAAATATTTTTTATTTTTATAAAAAAAATCTCTTTTTGGAAGCTCATCCAAACATGCTGTTAAAGCTGAAAGCTAGCATTTTGGGAGGGATGAAGCCTGTCATTTGCTCACAATCATAACATTAGCCAGAAAATTTTCCACCAAATAAAGGCAGACATAGCATGACAATTTGGACAAAAAGGAACTTAAACGCATATAAATATGAATATATTTGTATAAGGGAAGCACTTCTCACGGTTTTTAAAGATTGCTTCTTTGATAGTGTTAAGTACCTAGTGATAAAGCAACCTTTTTCGCCCTTTAAAAAAGTGTGGGGGTGGCAAAAGCAAACTAAAATGTGTAATTTTTAATCATTATTAACTATCCATAAGTTACTGCTACTAAGCTATGAGACATACCATCTGCAAATATTTTAAAATTTCTCTGTTTTAAAGGAACACAATGAGTGTGCGTTTGGTAGAATTTTTTTTTTTTGAGGATTTTCGAAAAACTGGAGGTGATAATCTTATTATCCATATTTGGTGTGTAAAATTTTCGGAATTTTTTTTAAGGGATTTTTATTTGTGTGTAAAATTTTCTGAAAATACTATCCAATAATACTACCCAGGGGTGGTATTCTTTGATTTTCATAGCAAGAAAAAATTTAACACAACCAAATATAACATCAAAAAAATTAACCCAATATTTTTGAGAATATTTTGGTCTATCAAATAACTTTTTAGTAACATTTTCGAAAAACTTATTTTTTCACCATATTTCTGAAAATTATGATTCCCGAGTAAACAAAAATTTCTCCTCCACCAAAAAGTTGTCCTTTGTTTAATTATTAAAATAATCAAAAAGGACAACATAAATTTTTTAATTTTTTCATCCATTAAATTACGTTATAAATAAAATGTGGTCCATAAAAGGCCTTTTATCTTTGCTCTTTCATCATCTCAATTTTATCACGTACAAATCATGTATAATATAAATAATATTATAATACATTTTGTATTATTATATTTATAGATGAGGCAGGTTATATTTATAAACTTTTTTTGTTTACAAACTCTTACAAACTACACTATGTAGGACCGGTCCTACATTAATCACACAGTGTACGACCGGTCCTACATTAGTGTAATTGCAAAAAAAATTTGTAAACGGATCCTGTCCCTTTATAGATATCACAAATATATAGTTTAATTCCTTGCGTCGATCGTCAAACAGTAAATAATATAAAAAAAAATTGTGACTCAACTATTTATCCAATTATACTTGTAGTATCATGCATCGACGTATAAATATCCTATTAGAATTGTAAAATGATTATTACATATTATATTTTAACTTTTTTGCACCACACTACTTAGGGGGGAAAAAAAAAATGTCAGAATACGTGTTTCTCTTATTTTATTGAAAAAATGCAAGAGAATTATTATCGACCTACATATCTAAACGCCCAATATAAGGCAATCACACAAATTAGGAAAATATTCTCTTATTAATGACATTACTATCGTGACATTAAGACAGTGGTTTATTAGGTTCATAGATTATTAAATGCCTAGAATGTTATTAGCTATAGGTAAATTTTATAAATAATAGATAAAGTCTACAAATATAATCTAATCACTTTTATACTGTTATGTTGTCACTGTCCACATACATCATCTCTTTTACAAACATCGTCGTCTCAAGATATTCTCATCTGCAGATACTTATGAGCTATGAGAAAGTATCAATCCCATATAAATTTATTAGTGTTTGACTATGACATTTTTATCAATTCAAGAATGATATACAAATATTATTGTTCATTACCGTTGGCAAGAATATTATGTGGCATACTTCACACGGTAGTATTCAAACCTGGCTGGACCGACTAGTTGAACTTTCAGACAACTGGTATTTCCAAAAGTGACATTTAATCAAACAAACCATGCTCGGGCAGCTTACAACCAATTAAGCTGGTTGTTTATAATATTTTAATTATTTTTTTTTTCTATTCCTTACTATGTCGGGTTAAAAAGAAACATATGATTGTACTAAAAAAAAAACATATGAGGATCTATTGGGAAAATTTTCCAATAAATTTCCTGACTTTGTGATGGTAAAAATATAAATTGTTTATACACAATTTTATCCTTATAATTTTATAAAAAAAAAATGTATCCAAATTCGAGTTCACGATCGTCTTATAATAAAGAAGCGGGTTTTTTTTTTACCCTTTTGTTCTTCATTAATTAATTAATAATTATTTTGTCTCTTATTAAAAATTATCTACCAATCTCCTCCTCTTTAATCGATTAAGTTGGAGATTTAATCGATTAAATGGTCAAAAATGAAAAAAAATCATTGACTTGAAGATTTAATCGATTAAATCTTCAACTTAATCGATTAAACCTTCAACAAAGAAAATCAAAGGCAGACACAAGCCTTGTTATTTCATTGCCAAGTATCAACTTGATTACTAGTACTATTCCTCTCAAAGAAATTTCGCGTGAGACAAAAAAAATGTGGTGGATCCCGATTCTCAGCTTCGTTTCTGCTTTTCTGGGTTTCGTTGTGCAGGTTGCAACGCACTTTTTTTGAAACGCAAATTTAATTTAATCGATTAAATTTAAAGATTTAATCAATTAAATCTTCAAGTCAACGATTTTTTTCAGTTTTGACTATTTAATCGATTAAATCTTCAATTTAATCGATTAAAGAAGGATAAATTAATAGATAATTTTCAATAAAGGGCAAAATAATTATTAATTAATTAATAAACAACAAAAGGGTAAAAAAACCCTAAAGAAACAACCTAATTAATTAAACCGGTGGCTTTTTGGCTAGATAAAACATACCTCACCACTCAACCACTTATGTCATTTTTTAAATAAGTATTAATATTGTATTTTTTTTCTTGTATTCTTCCATATTAAAATTATTTTCACTTGCAAAATTATATTTAGTGTAGCATATATTTATACACCACGAGATTTATTTAATGTCTATGTTTTAAAGAAATATTTTAATTAAAATTTAGATTTTATTTTAATGTTTTTAAAAAATTTAATCATATATATATATATATGTGTGTACTTCTTTGTTTACATATTTTTATATATTTAAAAAGGGATTAATGTCCTTCATAAAAAAAAAAGGGATTAATGTTGTTCCTATGTTATAAATAAAGGGCATTTTAGAAATTTTACTTTCCTCTTATGTTATAAATTTTACTAAAATATATTTTATTTTTAATCTTAAACCCCACAACGATAATATTTCGAAGTTGCAGGAAATAATTTTATATTCTGTTATCAAAGAAATATTTTTCCCATTTAAAAATACAATTTATTATTTCTCATGTTATAGAAAATAAATTTATTTTCTACACACATAAAAATACATGGAGCTCATATTTTTTCTTTTTATCTCTTCCTCTCACATGGACTCCACATACTTTTATGTGTATACAGAAAATAAAATTTATCTTCTATAATACGATAAACATTTAACTCCTTAAAAATATACACATATATTTATAAAACATGACCATTCTGATTAGGAAAACATTGCTTTTCATTCAGAAACCCTTTTCTTAAAGTCCGCCCTCACTCATAAGTCATACATAACTGATAAACCTTAACTTTGAATTGTCCAAAGCTCAAGTTTGGACCCACCGCAATTATATGCGTTTTTTGGGCCAGGTAGCTTACCAAACATGTGCTCAATTACACAGTTTCGTGTAGCCAATAGTGATTCTTTTGTGTGCAATTATTTATTTTGTCACAATTTGGACAATTTCTTCTGGTTTAACAAACTAAACAAAAATAGGACCACTTTTTTGGGATAATAGCAAGCAGCAACTAGTGGACTCAATTAAACTGGATATTTGTATTATTGCTGGCTTATAGTGCACCACCATATGGGTCTTTGACTGAAGAAGGATTTCCTACTCCAACATCTTGTTCCTCTAGTGCCAATGGACTACACGAATAAAAGATGCTTGAATGACCTTGTTTCTCAAATGATGAAAAAAATCATCTATGTGATAGCTATGCATGGATACTCTAATGTTCCAACACTAGATATGACTATTTATTAAAATTAGGCTACGAACTGGAGGAAATTGAGTTTAATTAAATTGGATGTTAGTCCAAGTCTTCAGTTACTTTTCATGGATGTACATCCTCCTATAACAAAAATGCTTTAAGATGAGACTTGTTAAGGAAACGTCTAATTGGAGAAACTATCAATTAGCCAAAGTATAAATTGACGTTAAAGAATCACGATTGAGAAATATACTTAGTTTAGGAAATGGAGCTCAAGATATGCGGTGTTGTGCTTCGCCACAATTACCAGAAGATGTCATTGGCTAAGAGGTTGAGAGTTTTCGCAATACATCAAAGGAACTTGGTGTTGGTTGTATTCAAGAAAGACAAGAGTTAATAATAGAGTGTACTGGTGGCTTTTGGGGAGGGTGCATTCGAGCACCTTGCAATTGTAACCGTTGAATTGTGCTCAAAATCGGTCACGTCCGTTGTGCCAACCTCTGAGGCTAATTTATGGGGTTATATATATCCCTGTATCATTAACGTGAGATAAATGTGTCATTATCATGCTGAATCTCACTCCTTTGCACAAGCATCTCATATACCATGTGAGGATACTTGTCAAATATCTAGCGGGACCTACAAGGACAGAAACGTTTCCATTTCTTCTTATTGTTACTCTTCCAAAACACAGTCATAAGAGCCACCTTACTGATATGAGCAAGGAGCAAGAATGGCAAATAATGGATAAAGGGTAGTAAATAATTCAATGGTTAAGAATAATTCTGAGTTTGTTGTAACAAATTACTTTAGTTGGTGTATAAAAAGGAAAAGGGAATTGTGTACAAGATGTGGAATATTGTAAATCCATTTTCTATTTGAAATAAACTACTCATTTTCACCTCGTTCTCCTCTTTCTTCTTAACTTTGTTTTTCTCTCTCATCTTCAACCTCTATTCTCCAAGAAAGAATCCAAATCCTATCACTTACCCTGTATCTTCTCTTAGAGAATAATATAAATTATTAAAAGGCTCTCATTCCTTGAGGTTTTGAGTTCAAGTAATTTTTTACATAATCCTCAAGGTTCCGAACATTGCTCCAAATATGATTTTTGTTTCATTATTTCCTTTAGAGCATCTCCACATCAAATGATGACCACAAAACAAACATACAAGATGGGCATGAGCACTTCTGAAGTAAAACTACATCTTCCCCAATTTTCTAAATTACTTGAGGTAATGGTGCAGAAAGGTTAGAGAAAGAAGCAGAGGAGCTGTTAGACTTGTTATGTGAGAATCTTGGAGTTGAGAAAGGATACCTCAAGAAGGACACAAGATTTGTCAACTACCCTCCATGCCCCAAGCCAGACCTGGTTAAAGAAGATACAAATAAATTGCTAATATTAAAGTGTGCAGGTTATTATACTGATTGATTATTGATACTACACTACACAAGTCCACACTTATTCCTATATATATACACATTTTTCTGAACGCTAATTGCTCTCCTTGTTACCAACTCGGTGTGCTACAGCACTTGAGTAATGGGACCAATGGCTTTTCTGTCATTAAACTCAAATTTCCTTATGACTTTTAATTAATATTTATCAGTCGTGGGGGTTTAATTATAACACCATTTTTTAAGCACATTTGGATACAGGACTCTTAATTGGCGCTTTAATTTGGCGAAGAACTCCCGCAATGCAGTGATTAACTAAAGTGAAAAAGGCAATGGTTGCAACTCAAATTTAGGATGAAGTAATCTCCTATGTCACTTGATAAAGCTTAGGCAGGTATCTAATTTTTATTTGTAATTTCACATAAACAGGGCAAAGCTCGAGGATTAAATATAACATGCATAAAAGTTATTTAATTCCTACATATATAAATTTTCATTGCACATGTCAACTTTGATAAAATTTAGTATGATAGGCACTGCAAATTTCTAGGACACTCAACTAACTACAATGCTAGAACAGGGAAAATCCAACTCCAAGGTAGGCTGGAGGCCTCTTGAACCCAAAATCCTGCAAAAGATTCTAATTGGCCAACCAATCCGCAAAGAAAAGTTTCCTTCACATTCGCAGCAAAGAGCATGTCTGAGAGTAACATCCAACCAACATATGCCTTAAGCCCAAGGTAAATGCCACAAGGCTCAGCTGTGAAAGATGAGCACAACCATGTCTTTTGTGATTAAGCCTTTATTCCACTACCATCGCCATTTCCAACCATTCCTCAGTTTTCCTCCAATCTAAAAAGAAGTCACGTAAAAAAACTCAATTCATTTGTCAAATAAAATAGTAATCATAAAGAATTTTAGAAAAGATATGTTAATTGGTTAAATCTTTTGGGATGTGAATTATGTATCTGAGCACGTAAATAACTTACTATATATTTATATTACTATGATTTTCATATAACTCATTTAGTGTTTCTACATTTATGAAAAATTTGATAAAGAGAAAGAATAGTGATGACTATGAAATAAGACCAAACATATAGTGATAATAGATATTGAGTTAAAAGAGATGAAAAAGAAAGTTTGATTTTTCTACTTATAATTTTATTTTAATACATTTTCAATGTAAAAATTTTATATATTGTGATCCAATATGATGTGGTATTTAATGAGTTTGATTATACTAATGATTAGATTTATGTCAACTTTATTAAATTATAATGTGATATTCCATCATTTCATTCAAATATATAAAACTTTTTTACACTAACATTTTGTAAGTTCTTTTCCTTATCTATGAAGTTTGATGCCTAAAATTTCTTCTTATTATTATTACGGAAGGACTATAAGATATAATAATTTCATTTTCTATACCCACCTTTCATATTTTTTTCTCTAATAGCACGCGCTTGTTTAAGTTATCGAATAGTTTGCTTACGAATTTAACTATTTTGAAGTATGAGATTCACTTCAAAAAGAAGAAGAATCATTAATAAAAAAATATGAATGGTTAAAATCATGATTATATATATATATATGTGTGTGTGTGTGTACACACACACAATTGTTAAAGTTTTGTAGGTTTTCTCATCAACAAATATAAGTCGTCATGAAAAGCAACGCTCACCAGAGACCAAGCCCAAAAAGTGACTTTGTTTATGTTAATCAATCGGAGTTTCAAATAATGTATGCAGTCATATAAAAAATAAAAATAATAATGTTTTTAGTCAAAATTCAAAAATACGTAGAACACATTTATTTTTAAAATAATATTATATATAAGTCTGTATACATGGAAAAAAATTTATGTAATATTATTTCTAAATATTTTTTGACAATAAATTTCTGCTTCTAGTTAAGTCAAGATTTCAGAAAATGTCTTTTGGTTAAAATAATTTTTATAAATTAAGAAATAAAACTATCATAGCAAAACTCGGAAAGACAGTAAGAGAAACTCAAGGTTTACCGTTTCACTATACTGAGAAAAAACACACACAAACAAACATACTTGTATTTAGAAATTAAAAATACAAGATAAAGTGAAAAGAGGGAAGAAAAAAACTTGTAAAGAATGAAGTGTAAGAAAATCCAGATTACAGGGTTATAATATCACTTCACCAAAAATTAATAAATGTTCTAACCTTTTTCAAAAGAAAGCCAAGTGAAACTTATAAAAGAGAATTTAGCTAAAAATTTAGTTCCTTTGTATTTCACAATGTGTTTTACCATGATCAAATTTTTTTCCACTGAGATTTTACTTTTAACCCTGATCCTCTGGAGTTGTTTTTAGAAGTCCAGGAGGTGTAGTTAATCATCCAATGGTTGATATTGCATGAATTATTTTTGCCTTAAAAGGAAATAAATGTATTTAACAGCTATGATCATCTACAGTTTTTTATTTATTTATTTATAAATTCACAGGATTTTATAAACGGTGCATGAATTTTCCTCACTTATATTTATGGTAATCAGGCACATTCTTTAAATGCAAATATATGCAGGTCCCTCCAGAATTCTACCATGTTATCTGCCAGCTTGCAATTACCGCAAGAGAATAATAACCATCCATACTGTGTTAACTGGGCTTATATCCAGTCAAAATCAGAAAAGCAATAACAATAATCTAGGAAATAAAATTTATAAGTTTCTCTGATGGACTACACATCAAGATTTTTGGGTAGATAAACAAGGCTTGTCTAGCTTTCTTGAATTTCTCTGAGCCTCGAGAAAAAATCAAGAGATATCTACACTCATTGCTGATGAATGGAGAGCAGCAAAGAATACCCAAAACCAAGAGAGAAAAAATAGAACAAAAGGTGAGGCACACTAAGGGCCAAGAAGGGAGGGAGGGAGGGGGAATTGGGAAGAATTTTAACTCATACATATACTGGCAATGCTCGACTTTTTCTGAAGTTTTCTTATTTTATTTCTAAAAAATGGAAGAAGAAGAAGAATTATTCCTTTGCCGCTGCAATGCATGGAAGGAGTTCATCACCTTTTCCTATTTATTCCAATGAAGAATCTTGGATTCACTTTAAGCTAAAGAAAGGGAACCCAACTTAGCATAAATTGGTCTGTTACCTCTTCAAACATGAAAATGGTAAGGGCAAATGCTTCATGCTGGAAATATCAAACAACTCTACAAACCTCTGATCTGAAACTCTTGCTTTAGCAGCTGCAAAGCGCTGGTACTCATCAAAGACAGATGACAAGCACCATTTTTGCAATTTTCTATAGCATCCTACCAAACAACCTGTTCGGTGCTGCACACAGAAAGAAAGGAATAAATTACATACGTTAACAAGAAAATCCATTATCAGGTAGATATTATTAATTGAAAAAAATCTAGCAAAAATCTCACCTTTCCCCGCTTACAGTGAATTATAACTGGGTGGTTCCTGACATCTGCATTATTGATCACCAAAAGTTATTATTAGCAAAATGAGTTGTTGAAACTTGAAACTGCAGTTAAGATTAAAGAGCTATAGCATACCTAGGAGAACTTTTAGTGCTTCACGGATTGTGTCCTCTGGGATGTTTACAAAAGGCTCCTGGATGAACAAGTTTCACAAGGTTAAATACGATTTCACATTATCAAGAGCTTGCTAAGTCAACATAAAATAAAAGTTCCTTTTATCACTTTTTATCCACTAAATTACTTATTGGTAAAATTGGAGGGAATAGAAGAGGGTGTTGCTGATACAATTTGAAGATAATGTTTAGCAATTTCTGCTGATACTGATTGACTGAACAAATTATGGGATCCAAAAGAAGCTATTGCCAATCTATCCAGACCTTAATCTTAAACAAAAAACACAAGTGGAAAGAAATCTTTTACTCAATTCCCATTCATCTGATCATTCACCTTTTCCATTAATGGAGCCAGATATTAGATAAACGTGAAAATTAGAAGAAACTGAGATGGGAAACAAGGCTAGAAAACGATTCCAAAATCAAGGAAACTAAGGCAAGTTAGATATCAGTATCACAATCAAGGATTGCCTCAATAAAAGTACTGCTTCTCCTAGTTTTCCTAGACATTTAGAAGAAAGATTGGTCCATAATTTAATATCCAAAACAACGTTCATGGAATAGAGACTCAGAAGTTCAACAATATCATAAAGGACGAAGGATTCTCTATATCAATTCAACACACTTTATGCCCTAATCCAACCAATAACACATAAATTTCCATTTCCAAATGTTTTTCCCTAACATTATCTCCTTGTCTTTCCTAGGGTTGATCGTGATTTTGGTGCTACTTCTGAACTATTATTAACTCCTTTCCCCTTTCTTTAACTTGTACTTGCATTATCAGATGGCAGATCTGTGCTTTTAAACAGAATCGGTTTTTAACATTTTCATAGTGATCCCATTATAAAGACTCCAAGTATAATCTATGACGTCCAAGCCATTGATTATTCAAAAAAACAAATGATTGTGATAATTTAAGAAACCAAGGAAAAAACTTGACCGGCCAACTTGGATTCCATCAAGCGTGATTATATTCTAAAGTTGATATACTTTCGCTTGCACTCACGGATGAAGATTGAAGAATACTATTTTACATAAAAAAATGATCAAGAAAAAAAAAGCAATGGGTCCAATCATGAGCAATAACAAGGTCAAAAATGACATGCCAATATAATAATGATACCTAAAAAGCTGTGATAATAGAATTTAGCAAGCATAAGTCTCCAAAAAAAATATTTTTTTTTAAAGCACCAAATAAAGTTGGGACATTTTGAGAAGTTACATCAAGAAGAATCAAAGAACAGTAATTGAACTAGTTGAAGAAATAATAATGACAATAACTAGCTTTGCGACCCCTTTATACTCCTACTAAGCCCTGTTACAGCAACCCATTTGATTAAACAGTACTTGAAGCCACAACACTCGTGTAATGGTCCCATTTCCCCAGGTCCCAAATTAACCACCCCACCAACTTGAAGAAAAAATTTACAGATGATAAACGACAGATCAATTGGATTAGATGTCCATTGATCTTTGTGCAAGTTTTTTTTTTTTTTTTTTTTCCGGTAAACTCTGCAAATTATCAAGACATAGAACAAGCACAATCCCCCCAAAATGGAAATAACCAAAACCAAATCAGCTCATAACATCAATAAAAAGAGAGAGGTTAAAGGACATAGATATTAGATACACACCTTATGACCCTCAATCCCAAACTGATAAAGGCTGATCCCATTTGACTTGAGGAACTCCATGTTGGCCTCCGGATATGGCTCAGGGCACAAATAACTACAAAAAAAACCAATTAAACAAGGAATCAGTAATAGCATGCAAGGAAAAGAATTTACTAATAATTAAGGAATTGGGTATTTGAAAATGAGCCCAAAACACATGTAAGAAAAAATAAAAAATGCATAGGGGAGGGATTCAGGTGTATATACGCACATGATGGAGCGGAGGCCAAGGGTTTGGAGGAAGGAGAAGTTAGCGGGTTCAGGGAAGCCAGAGCGAAAAATGCCATTATCAACCATGGCGAAATTGAGGGGTGGGATGAAGAGATCCTCGCCGTCCACCTTGTCACAACCACCGTCGGCGGCGGAGGTGGGATGAGAGGAGATACTGAGTTGGATCTTCCTACACATCTGGGTGTCTTGGTGCCTTTGCTGCTTGTGGTGATGGTGGCGTTGAAGTTCTGCTGATACTTGCATATCAAAGTTGGAATTTTTATCTTTTGGGATCAGAGAGAAAGTGAAAGAGAAAGAGAAAGAGAGAGAAAAAAAATGAGGAAGAGGAAGTAATTTAGAGTGTTAATATGATGAATATATAATAAAAAGAGAAGGGGATTGTTGGATCAAAGAGTATATTCCTTAAGGTGGTGGTTTCTCTAGCTCCCTGAAGCTTATGAATGGATTTTATTTACAGTTGAAACTTGAAAAGAACAAGAGGGAAAGAAGAATGGCAGTTAAAGTAGTAATGGTGGGGTGGCTACAATGGAATTGGATTTGGAGGTGAAAGGAGACACCACCTATTCCCTATTTATATACACATTTCAGAGAGCCGTAAGCCGTGGCCACCAACAAAACCATGTCAAAGAGAAAGCACACTGTTTGGTTTTTTTTATTACGGTAAGAAAGACAAATTGAAGGAGATTTGTTATTTCAAAGGGTGAAATATTACAATTATTTAGAGGAAGAATTGAAACAAAATTAACAGGAAAAAGTGTTTTGTTGAGATTATGATATTACTGTGTGTTGAAACATGGCAGGTGAAAGTAGGGAGAAAAAATAGTAGATAAAATAATTTATCACTTCAAATAATGACACAAAGTTATATGAGATAAGTTATTCTACCTATCATTTTTTCTGCTTAACTTTGCTTACCACTCTAAAACACAGTTAGATCAGAATCCCAAAGAAATAGAAAAGAAAGATAAATGTTAGTTAAGATTCTGATCTAATGATATTTTAGAGTGGTAGGTAAAGGCAGACAGAAAAAATGTTAGGTAGAATAACTTATCACAAGTTATATTATTTTTAATGAAATTACGTCATTTTGGTATGTTTTTACATTCTCTCTTCTTTGTTTTTTTTTTCTTCCTGATTTTATAAAAAATAAAATGACAAAACACACCAAAAGGACTTAATTTCAATAAAAATAACACAAGATTGTGTCATTTATTTAAAATGACAAACACTTTTCCCAAATTAATAACCGATAAATTATAAACCAAAAAAATGAACTGTTGAAAATATTATTTTATCAAATTAAATTTATATAAATTTTTTATTTCTATTTCAGTTATATATTTATTTTAAAATTATCAATTTAATTAAATATATAAATTATGAAAAATATATTTATTATTTTTAAAGACATGTAGTAGTGTTATTTTAAATGAAAAAATAGTCATAATAATAAATTATTTATTTACACGGCTAGAGAAACTAACGAATCAGTGGGCGTTTGGTATACGTCATTCTTCAAGATTTTCGAAAAATTGAATTTTTTTAAATTTTAAATTTTTGAATATTATCGTAAACTGAATGTAAAAATTATATTTTTGAAAATTGAGATTCCCGAATAAAAAAAACATTTCCTCTACCAAACGCCCAGAAATTAAAAAATTACCTGACACCTGAGTATTCAGTACGACTTTAATTCCAAATAAAATTATAAAATATATTTTATAAATTATAAAATATATAATTATGAAAGATTTATATTTAGAAACTTTTGGTTTATAAACTACGTTATGTTCTTTCGGGAGAACATTAAGTTATACTATATTCTCCCGAGAGTACATAATGTAATTTGTAAAAATTTATAAAAGAAATTGTAAACGGATCCTTCCTAATATAATTATAATATTAAATTTATTAATATTTTTTTTTTATAAAATACATCAACTGATGTATTATGTTTTTATTGATAGAACGTAAGTACTAAGTACGAGGACAATATGTTAGATTTTTTCACACGAAGAGCTTTGCACGCATCTCCAGGCCTACCGTTTCGTATCAACGCAGTACATATTTCGGTGCGTATGGAAAAGATTCCTGTTGCCGCCCTTCGTGTAAATTCAACTTTTTTCTTTTTCTTTTTCTTTCCTAGCTTTATCTTTTCTACTAAATCATATGAAACCTAAAATAAAATGATCTGATTTGTAAAAATTAAGTTAGTGAGTAACATGTCAACATGTTGATATCTTTCACTTTGAATGTGAAAATTCTAATAGTTTCAAACAGTTCATTTTTTTATTTTTATTTCTTACACATTTATTGTAATTTTAATGTTTTTGTTGAATTCACTTTTATTTATTCTAGTTATTTAATTTATCAATTAAAGTTAACGTCGTACTTTTCCATTTAAAAATTAAAACTGCCACGTGTATAAGATGTTCGGAGATACAAACAAGCTAGTTGGAAGATGCAATTCAACTAAAGCATTCCAATACACACACAACTTATGTCTCAAGAGAAGCAGCAAATTAAGAAGGAGCATGTTAGTCTCAAACGGTTGGTTTTTAGGTGTAGACTTGGAATAATGTCCATTCCATTCTTCTTGATATTGTTGCAAGTGGATTTATCAATTTTATACACGTTGAGTAGGTCTAAGATCATTGATCTTGCTTGATATTCAATATGCATTAGGTACATTTGAGTACTTTACGCAAGTCTTTAAAAGCCTTCAATAACTACGTAAAGAAAAAAAAATATTCATTATCATTGAACAAATGCAGCAAAAAAACAATATTTGAGAGCAAACAACTTAAATATATGAAAGGTGTCAGTAATCACATAAAATCCTTTACAATTAATAGTAAAACACCGTGATCAAATTTAGTCTTTACTTATATTCGTCCTTAGTGTGTATGTGAGTAAAAAATATTTACTGCTTGAAATCTAAAAATGTTTTGCAGATCAAATTATCTAATACAAATGTTAAATAAACCATATCTTCTTGAGAGCTCCACACATTCATAAGGCAGATTGATCAATTTATTATTATTTTAAAAAATATTTAATAATTTATCCTATTCTCAAAATTATTTATTAATATATTTTATTTTGACAAAAGTCAGGCATTTTTTTTTTTTTTGATAACATGATATCTAGTCATGTGATGATGACAAGTGTGACAATAGAGGGATAAATTAATAAATAAGTCTTACAATAAATATAGATTGGTCATTTTTCACATGGTTATGTGAATCCCACAAATATTATGTGTTTCATTTGTGGAATCCATATAGTCAAAAGTTATCAACTTTTATTAAAATAAGATATATTGATGAAGATTCTTAAAAATAAAATAACTTAATAAATAATTTATTATAATAAAAATAAATTAGTCATTCTCCCCATATAAACTTAACTAATTTAGAGGAATGACAGTTACACTCACCTAGAAGTATTTTTTACATACCTCACAATGTTAATATATGTCATTCACTTCTTTTTTATTTTATTTTTTTTGAGTAAAGTTTTTTTTGGGTCCTAACAAAAAATATTATCCTTACTTTAGTCCCTTACAAAAAAAAAAATAGTTATCTGGTTCCTATGAAATTTAAAGTGGACCCATTTAGTTTTGAGTGATTAATATGAGTTTTTTTTTAAATTTGTGAGGAACCACGATTTCAACTAAATGCGTCCACTTTAAATTTCTTAGAGACTTCGAGACTAATTTTTTTATAAGGGACTAAAATAAGGCCGTATTTTCTGTTATGGACTCAAAAAAAACTTTACTCTAATTTTTATTTTCTGAAACTATCTCTCTTCTCTCTCTGTTTCATCAAAGGTTTAAGTTGATTTTTGTGTATCAATTAACTAATTTTTCAATAGTCGATTGATGAATGAGAATGACATATTACCTATCTTTACAGCCTTCCCTACAGTGTGATGTTTCTCGTTGGTCGCTTATTTTGCCGTCCTATGTGGGTAAAATTCATTACTTTTACATTATTTGACTGGCTCATTAATCTATTTGAAGAATTTTAAAGTTTTCATTACAATAATTAAAATTAACAAACCTTCTGAGATCATTTCGAAATCTCATCGAGATTATAAAGTATTGACTAACAATGTCATGTAAGAAAGAAAGAAAAAAGCTGACAAAAATAGTATTTAACAAGACTAATAGTTTTCACCGTGCTACTTTATCAAAAATAACTGTTTGTATAAAATCTCAGATCGGTCACAGATTTCAATTAATCTATTTGAAGAAAATGAAATATCGTAATTAAAAATACAGTAATTATTTTCCTTAATTATATTTTTCCTAATACGACAATCTGAAGAATGCAAAAACTATTTACGGCCCAAAATTAAAGTTAAATCGCAATCTCATCAATGATTAGAGGTCAGGGTCACTCTGTGGCTCTGTGCGATTAAAATATTTATTTCAAATTCTAAGGTTGTAATCACTTCAATAGTGGGGAGCGTAGTGATACGGGATTGATTTGTCGTCCAGCATCTTATTATTTTCATGTGCATTACATTAAAATAATACCACTTGATAAGTGCTAATCAGTAATGATTTACAGTCATACATAATAATTGAACTGATGCTACCTTTTCCTCTTAATAAGAACTATTATTCATTGCAGCAATGCTACTTACCTAGACTTACTTATAACTGAAAACAAGGGCACAGATATAACTTGTAAATATTATATTTTGTACCATATATATATAGCCACCGATTAGTAATACAGATGAAGAAACAGCAACTCTTGAACCCAAAATTTGTGTAATAGTTTAAATGACCCAATTATTAAAATTGTGACATGGCTACAATATGTAAAGACCTTTTTATCTAAGATAAATAAATATATACAACAATAATTTTAGCTTTGATATTAATATTAATTGGTGAATGTGATGGGTAATGTAAAACTAGATTATGGTTCTGTGTGCTAGAAGAATACCAAAATAATGATTAATGTTTTGGAGGAAAATAGAACATTCGGAGGAATATGCTGGTACTGAGAATCCCTTTTGTACTTTGGGTCTTGGAAAACGAAATAAATAAATCAAATAACAATAATAATGATGGTCAGTAATGCGAGGGCTCTGCGCCACATACATTCGTGCTTTTACTTGCTTTATTTTATTTCGTCTCTTTCCATTTTCGCCATCTCACTCCAGAAAGTGCAACAAAAAGTAAACCAAAAAGATTCTCTTCTTTTCTTTGCTTAAGACTCGGAATCATTTAAGCCAATTGTGAATTGTGATTCTATGCTTGCGATTTTTTTTTTTTAAATTAATTATATAAATTTTTATTTATTAAATAAGTC